CTCGTTACACACACACACACACACACACACACACACACACACACACACACCAGATGGGGACCCACAACCTAGCTGTGAGTCTCATCAAATGCCATTAAGTGAAAGCTACTTCAAAAGGGATTATTCGAATGGGGCTTGATAGGGCAGTGTGTGAACAGATTTTCCTATGATAAATAATGCTTGTCATTCAAAAACAAATTAGGAAGGGGAGCACTGAAGGAGTTAACAGAGGCTCCCAGGGCTGAAAGCATAGGCAAGGGAGAGAAGGAAGATTTTAGAAAATGCAGGAAGAAAAGAAAGGAAGAGACCTTCCCCTTTAGGTAAAAGGGAAGCATAAAGGGGAAATGGTGCCTGGAGAAGATTGCTGTTAAGGGATGCAGTGGGGTTCCTTGAATGGGAGGCATTTAGGATTCTGGAGAACAGGTTCATATAACTATATGCTTGCTCACAATCAGGGATGCCCTCCTTTCTTTCATACACAAACACCTTTTTTCCATCAAGCCGCAACAGAGGTGTGTTTCAGGTGGCTTGGTCGCTATTAAAATAGTTTAAAAAGAGACAACTCTCTGGTTTGTCGACTAAGGAATGTCCAGGTAAAATGTGTATATGTGGGGTTATAATCACTATTGAGAGGAGGACTTTTAAAAACAGTGTTGTGTTCTAAGCACCACTGAAGACATGCAGGAAAGAAAAAGTGCATTGGAATTAAGCAGATGGTTGTATATTCATGTTCCTTTACACACTTTCCTAATCATCCTGTCCCCTATTCCCCCACCCCACCCCAATCCAGCTACAATTGATAAAACCATTCTCAAATGGCAAATGTTTTTCGTCAGGATTGCACCCTGCCCCTGAAACTCACAACCTGTTGGGGGGAGATGTTCAGCCACAGACCAGAGGCTTCTTTTGAGATAGATGGTGTATTTTCTGACATTACAAGCAGCACACATTCCTAAGAAATGGATCCTACACATTTGACATGGTCTGTGTAACAGCCTATTGTTTTATAAGTCATTCTTAGTTAATACAACTTTCTCAGTTTCTCTTTTTGTGCCCCCCCCCACGTTTTAATAAGAACATGGTTAATTCCTGAGTCAAGAAAGGAATGCCATGGTATAAATGTTAATACTACTATGAGCGTGAATTGGCATATCTGAAACTTTAAAACATTTGATCACTTTTTGATTTCCCTAAATGCATATTTTGTTTGGAGGGGGGAATCATGATTACTACTTCTAATTTTTCTAAAAAAATGTTTCACTTCCCCCTTAAACAGCTGCTTTTTGGAGTGCTACCTAGAGTTGGAAACAAAGAAATCAAGAACATTTTAGAGTGTTAGTAACATTTATAGAAAATAGTGTCCCCACCGAAGACACATTTGAATGACAAATAAGCCACATGTCACAGTCTTGAAAGTAAAATGAGGGGTGGGGTGGGGGAGAGAACGAAATTTGTTAATTGATGCCAAGATAACTATCTGAACTGAGACTGAATTTGGAAGATTGTAAACACATTTTTAACAGCAAAATCTTTAGCAAAATCTATTTCATTTCCAATACTAAATAACATATACCAATGCACATGATATATTAACTATTTAAAATGTGAGAATATATAAATCCACTACACAAAATAAATAAATTTAGTGTTATTTATAATATTACAATAATTTTCTCATATAATATTTTTAATTTTCCAAATATATATAAATCAGGTTCTGGTTGCCTATTATCCATCCTTTTCATTTGGAATTTCATTTTTGTACACAAAAGCATGTGCAATCGGTTGCACGTTGGTGAATGCTGTGTAAATGCCCTCCACCAAACAGACTTTGAAGTTAATTCACAAGCCACCCCAAATGTTAAATCTTATCTCCATCCCTTGTCTCATCTTGGTCTGCCACCTATTCACAATGTTTTGCGTGTTCTAGAATGAACTATAGTGTGTGTATGGGGGGGAGATACAATTTCCTCTGTGCATTTTTCACCTTTGGAGTACTGTGTATCATGCACAGAGCAGTGCTAGCCATGCAGGAGGGAGAGGAAGAGGAAACAGAAATTAATGAATGGTCTTTAAGAAGCTGATAAAAAAAATTGTTAAAGACATTATTGCAGCAGGGGTCTCATTACAAAATAAGTCATGCCTGCCTGCCATAGATTTAACCGTCATAAGGCCTTGAACTGAGACAGACAGAGGAAAGCGAACAGTTGGAAACTCCACCCCTGTGACATCACGTGGAAAGACCCTGCGCTGGAGTATGTGTGTGTGTGGGGGGGAGCAAACCAGTCTACGTTTTCTGGAACAACAACAGAAGTTCCAATATTATCTTCATCCAAACCCCAAATGTTTATTTTGGGGGTTAGTTTGAATTTAAAAAAGGAAAGAAAAAAAATCCCCTGCCTCATTAGGCTTAGAGTTTAAGAAAAAACGTGTTTCAAACATGAGTCACACTTGTTTAACTGGTGGGGTGGGAGAGGATGTAGGAAAGATTATTTGGGGTACAGTCATCCAGGACTGGCACAAATCCTATTGTACTAGATGAAGTGTGCCTTGGATGAAGCATCCTGCTGTTTGTCCATAGAGGCAAAGTTTGGTATGAAGCTTCTTCATGGGTTCCTCCAAACCAAAAGTGTGAAGCGAGGTTGTGAAGCTGCATGGCTGCTTTTCTAAATATAAACCACCAAGGTAGTTTCCCACCCCATGTGTCACTTCCAGTATGGATTCTCAGATGTCCCCAGAAAAGGAGGTAAAAGGGGGGGGGGGGAATGGAATTATAAACAACAGTTATTCTTAGGAGTGTTGAGGGGGGTGTTTAAAAAGAAAAGGCAGGCATTGAAAGATAAAAATCCTTACCTGTTGCAGGGTGATACTTAATAGTTTCTTTGCAGCATATAGGAACCAGGGACTCCCCCACCCTTTAATTTTGCATGGAAGCTATACAGTGCAAACAGGAGGGGTGGGCATTCCCACAAAGTTCAGATGGGGTGTAGGGAGGGGTAGCTCACCTTTGTTGGAGGGGACATCATCCTTTTCCTCCTGCTTCTACATTAAAGTGACAAGTCCCCCCCTCCCCTCCCCTTTCCCAGAAAGCAGTGATATGATTCCTGGCTAGCTGTACCCACTTAGGACCCTTAAGGAACCCTCAGCACTGCTTTTCAAGGGTCTGCCATTTTGGATTTAGAAACATTTCTAACAAGACAGAAGAATCCTTCTTGAATTTCCCCGCCTCTTCCCCTCCTCCCCACCCTTTTGAATTCACGCCCTGCCTTACATCAAACGTTTTTTTGCTGATTAACTGCACAATCAGGTCCCTGCAGATCAGGAGAAGAAAGGAGGAGAGAGAGGCAACCTCTTTTCCAGAGAACAATACCATTATTTCAGCTCCATTGGACAGGAATGTGAGATTTCACAGCCCGCTGCTTCTAAGTCCCATCTCCAAAAACCAGCCAGAAATCTATTGCTTAAATATCCCCACCCAATTTCAACCAGCTCTTAATAGTTTTAAGGTTTTGGGAATAATACAGGGTGATATACAATCACCAACCTCCAAAGATGTACATTTATTATTTTCTTTATCTTTCAAAATTCTTTTTTGACTTTTGTTGTTGTTGCAAAAAGTCTCTTTCTGAGTTGCACAGAAAAAGAGAGTTTGATTCTTCAGCATGATAAGAGAGCTAGCAAACAAAATAGCAATAAAAAACAAAGATATGGGATTCAACTTTTTTGGTTTTTTGGGGGGAAGAGTATTATTTGGACAAAACTATAATGCCAGTATCTCATCCTAGAATTTTTTTAAATTGAAAGAACTTCTAAAGCAGTATCTTTTTCTTTCTTTCTCTCTTTTCCCAACATGTACAATTTGCTTTGCAGCAGAAATTATTTGAAAGAAATAAAAACACATTTCTCGAAACACTGGTGTTTTCCTTTTCACACACACACTCCTCTATAACCTTATAGTTTGTAAGCAAAACAAAATTGAACTGAAGCTTAGAACAAATGTTACAAGCATATAGTAGTTCTGTTTACATGCCAATAACTCTTTCAACAAGAACAACCACAAAAAGCTTTTTTTAAAAAGCACATTCTTTGGGTGTTTGCTCTAGCATTCCAACTTTGCTTTGTAAAAGAGGCAGGTTTTTCTTACAATATATATAAGAAAAAGGATGGGGGAACTGCTCAGTACTTCCAAACTTTTAATGTAATTGCTCTTATACTTTTAATGTAATTGCCACAGTTTATACACTTGAAATGTAAATCTTGGAAATGGACTGTAATGACAGAGGATTCAAACGAATCTTATAGGTATTAAGGATTAAATGTGTGAAGGAAAGGAGGCCGTGGACTATGTTGTGCCACTCGTGTTAGAAGACAGATAGGAATACCCTCCAATCAAAATTAAAGATAGCAATCCTAAATTTAGCAATGTATTTATTAAACATGTTGCATCTCTCTGAAGTTTGCCTTCTGCTACTAGGAAAAAAAATCACTAGAAAAACAGTTACAAACTGTTTGGCAAAGGGGGGACCTTCGGACCACACCTCTTAGCTCAGAACCGCTTGGGATTAAATGACCCTCTAAACATCAACCCCATCCAAACAGGAGAGGGAGGGAGAAACAGAAAATAATATTTGCTCAACTTTTCCCTCTGTTCGCCTTTGATTTATCTGTTTGCAACTAGGACCCCCTTAGCCGAAACAAAACAAAAAATCAATGGAAATCCAGTTTGAAGAAAAGGCGGGCAAAAAAAAGTACATGGAGAGAGGGGGGGAAATTTGTGAATGGAAGAATGTGTTTGTGCATTCATTGTTAAAATAAAGAGTTGCTGTGACGTGAAGCGCGCGGGGAGCCAATGGGAGTGGAGATGATATTTTTAAATATCCCCCTTGCCAGCCAATGGGAAGAACGGTGGCAAAGACTAGCGCAAGGACGGACCAATGGAAAAAGAAGTATGCTAATGGAGAATTTGGTCAGGCAGGAGGTGAATGTCAACTAGTCAAAGATGGAGGCTGGAGCTGGGAGGCCATGAGGTTTGTACTGGAGGATTTTCCCCCTCTCTTCTCTCTCTCTCTTCCCCCCCCCCCAGTTTTTCATTGATTAGAAGCCGAAGCTGTAAGCCGGGCATTCCCATGCAAGAGAGGCGGGGAGCCAAGGAACCCGGAGACGGGGCAGAGGGGCGCCAAGTCGCTCTGGGCTCTTCTTTTGCCAACTTTTCCCAGCCAGCTCCCCTTCCTTTCTTCGGATTCCTCGCCCACCCCTTCCCTCCTCCCCAGTCCAACCCTAACCCACCCCTAACCCCTGGTCAGCAGCTCTGCCCCTCCTCCTCCTCTGGGCCAGGTACCATTCATAAAAAAAGAAAAACCCCGAGGAGGGGGAAATGCCCCCCCGCCCCCATGGATGTCTCTGTGCGCGGTTCTCTCTCTTTCTCTCTTTTCCCTCTCTCTGTAGCTGTTTTGTGAGTAGCATCCGGGTGACTGGGCGGAAATGGCGGGGGCTCAAGGCTAAAAGGGGGAGGTGCAGGGGGGTTGAATGCAAAAGGCGATTTAAAGCTGGGCGTTTAAAAAGGGGGGGGAGATCGGGGGTGTGGGGGGCGTCCCCCTCTCCCGTGGCCCGGTAGCCAGGGCCCTCCGCCGCTTGCAAAGAGGGGCCAGATGGAGCAGCGAGGGGAGGGTTGGACGAGGGGGGAGAAGACCCCCCCTCGAGGCAGGCCTGGATCAAGATGCTCCCCTCGCTCTTTGCGGGGGGAGTCGGGAGCTTCCGGGACGGGTCTTGCTCTCCGGCCCTTGGTTTCGATCCCCCTTTGCTGAAAAGGTGGGGGAAAGAAAAAGTTAGCAGAAAAAAATCTGGGGACCGCGGATAGCGCGGGGTGTGGGTGTGTGTCTCTGGGTGAGAGCCGAGAGTCTCGGCCATGTGCTCCCCCTCTTCCCTCCACACACCCCTTTAAGTCCTTCCAGCTCTGAAATGCTACTTAGGTAGTAGGAGGGGAGGGGCGGGTTGGTTAGGATTTCGCCCCCCCTCCTTTTGGGCATTCTCTGTGCCTCTTGTTTTGGGGACTTTAAATGAGCGAATTCTCCCCTCTCGCTCTGTGATGTTTTCCCGGCGTGGTTTGCCGATTCCTTTGTATGTATTTCTGCCTTCGGAGGAGCCTCGGGATTTTTCGCACCCGGTCCTCCTCTCCGTCTTAAGCCGAATTTCTTCCTTTCTTTATTATTATTATCGGGGGGGGGGAGCTTCTCTTCTCTTCCTTGAGATCCGGAGGTTTTTATTTTGGGTTGAAATACTCCATCTCGATTCCTGCGTTGAAAGGCGTTAAGAAATGTTTGCAGCGGAGCAGGCGGGAATTGGGCTCTGCATCCCCCTGTTGGGGGGAGTTTTGTAAGTTTTCCTTTTAAATACCTGCTCCCCCCGTGAATGCTCCCGTAGTAGAGCTTACGAAACGGCTCGCCGAACGCTTCCTTGGGCCGTCGGGGCGCGTTGCAAGGCGAGGCTTCCAACTTTCGAGGCCGATATCGAGCCGATGGGACGCCAAATCGAAACTCCGTGCCTTTGAACGCCGCGATTATCTCTGTTTTGAAGATCCGGAGTGCAAAGCGTGTGTGCGCGTTTGTGTCAAGCTGCTGTTGGAAAGGGCTTCTGGAGGCGAGCGAGAGATCCAACTAGTTGATTTCGTGTCGTCCCCCCCTCCCCCGGGAAACAGTTTAAGAATTTTCAGAAATGGAGGGAGAGATCACGAATTAATTGGGAGATTGGGGGGGGGGGGGCAGAGGAGAATCCACGCTCCCCCCCTTTTAAATCAGTGAGTATAGGGTTTCCGAGAGGGCTTTTTTTGCGTGTGTTGGAAGTTTGCGCCGGTAGCCTGCGCCTTAGGAAAGGAGCACGGCGCGATTCTCGGGTTTTACTGCCTTTTAATGAAATCGTTCGGCCGGGGAGGAGGTCTTCTTTGGGGAATCCATGGGAGGGAGGGGAGCTGTTGGTTCTTGGTTCCTTCTCTCCTGGCTTCCCCCCGACACTGAAACAAGGCAAAAACTCGCGAGCGATCGCTAGTCTTTCTGTTATATGGGCTTCGTATTCCTCTTTCCTAAAAGCAAATGTTTGCTTGGCATGCGCGCTCTTACAAAAGAAACCGGGGCGGACAACCCGATGGTATCTCTCCCCCCGCCCCGGATTCTTGCACTTTGCCCCAATTCTGGGCAAGGTCTCCCTAGTGTGTGGTCTCCCAGTTGTGTAAGAGAACCGCATCCAGGGTCACAATCCCAGAGCTGGGGGATTTTTTGAAAACTTCCACTCCTGAGAAATAAAACAAAACAATGCATTCTTAGCCTGGCTCTTTCCCCCCTTCCCACTTTCATCTCTCCCACCTCCCCTCTTTTTAACTTTTAAATGTCTGCAGAGTTGGCCTGACCTTCAAAGTCTGCCTAGATCTTTCTACCGCCAAGAGAAAACACAATAAATTCCCTTTTGTAGAAAGCCTAAAATCATGGAATCTGGATTAATTCAACTATTTGGCTAATTTTATCACCTGTTAAAACTTTGTGCAGTGAATGCAGAAAGTTGACTTTAGAAAAGAGTCATTTTACTGATGCAGGCAAAACTCTTTCTAACCCCCCCCCCAAAGATCTATTTAATCCACTAGAAAAATATCTTGATATAGTTGCAATTTTTAAAGATGGTTCCATTGCTTTTTTAAAAATTAAATGCCTTAAACTTTGTTTTTTGAAGCCACAGTGCTGAAACTTTCTCAAGTGGTGTTAGGAAATGGAAGATACCAAGATTCAAACTGTTTCAAAAAGGTGAATTATTGTCTTGAAATCTGTCTTGTGACAAATTATTCTGATCTTCTGTTACGCAGTTATTAGGCAGTTTTATCTCCCTATTCTTAAGCATTTCAAAAGGGGGGAAATGTTAGCACAGACATTTTAAGCTTATTTTTGCAAAATATGCTAGGATTTATGAGGCTTATAGGGTCAAAAATGGTTAAATAATGAATCTTAGTGTTAACTCAAACTCTCTCTGCTTCTGTTCATGAATAGTTGGAAGTAAATTCCACCAATATCAATGAGGTTTCTTCTAAACAAATGAGTTAAGGACTGAAGCAGCCAAATCGAATACTCCATGAATGATTGTTGATCAAATTTAAAGTTTTAAAAGTTTCTAATCTATGTGGAATCTCCCTACCTGAGTGGTAGTAGAATACACATCAGGTTTTATACTGTTGTCTTAGGAAATGTTTGGGGGAAACCATCTCATTATTCTTGTTTGTGGTTATATATATATTTTTTACTCTGCTCAAATAGTTGTGTTTTTTTAAAACCCAGGATGGAAGAAGCACTAGATTGTATTCTAGACTGACTTCTGATTTTTTAAAAAAGAACACTTGTTAATATAGTGGAGAAGAAAGCCCCCTGCATTTACATGCTTGTGGTTAGAATTGCCTTTATGATGTGGGTGCTTCTGGATCAGTATTGATGGTGAATCCCATGCAGAAAAAGCCATCCCTGCGAGGAGTCACTTGAGTCTTGCTGGAAAGTCTCTCTGTGGTCAACTGTTGGCTGGAGCCCTTTTTCTGTTGTACTACTGGCAAGTATGATTAGCAGTGCAATATTAAAAGGGCATTGGCTAGCAGATACAGAACCTTCTCTGAGAGCCCCTCCCTCTTCAGAATGGGGAAACCAGCTGTAGAATTCCAGGATTCTCTGGCGTTACTTGTGATCAGGGGTATGGAATAAGGTTTGTTGCATGGAGGTGTGTTACTGAACCAGGAAAAGAGGGTGTTTCATCTTCCTTATTTCCTTGCTCACCCCAAACTGTAGAATGTTGTGTGCTTGCCTGAATATTTACTATGCAGGATTCCAAAGGGAATTTGAAACATGGAATTATTTCATTTGTTTACCCATGTCTTGGAAATGACTCATTACGCTCCTCCCCACCCCAAGCTTTCATGTTATGTATGCCTCTGTTGAAATGTTATAATGACGATTCCTTTCCTATAACAGCAGACTGGCCCTTCTGCATTCTCTGCTTCCTAAGATGGTCACCAAGCAGCTTCCTAGATGGCTGACTTTAAATGCTGTGGCTTTGTGTGTTTCATTTGTGTGTTTGTGTGCATGCAGATGCTCTTCTCAGATGCTACATGAATTCAGATGATGATCAGACAAGTAAAGTATGTGTTGGGTATTTTAGTGGGGCAGAACCCTCTTGACACACAAATCAATTTTGGAATGGATATTCTGTACCTGCATAGAGGCCTCTTAAGCCAAATGTCATGCATCCTGCAATGTTGTTGCTGGCACTTTGAAAAGTTGTTGTTGTTTTAATGCTCATGTGTGGCCCAGTCAAAAACAACAAAAAACCCAAAAAAACCTTCAGTAGAAGGAGGTCAATGGAAATAGCTTTGAGAATGAAGGAGAGATGAAAATAAACCATTAGCAAATGTCTTGACTATTTATATGCAACCCTTAAAAAAAATTCACCCCGTCTGTTGTTTAGTTGAAATTATGTGGAGGTGGTGTAACTGAAGGGAATGGAGAAGATGCTCACACTTTGCAATGATCCTTCCTTGTTGATTTTTGTGACTTTGCCTAGTATTTTCACAATATAGGATGGAAAAGAACTTTCGACACTTAAGCATTTGATTGAGGTTTCTAAAAATGTGCTGCCGCCACCTAGGAATTTCAAATACTTTTCAGCCCTCAGTGTGATTTAATATTTAATGACAATGTACACGTATCGAGCTTACATGTGGTGAAAAGCTGTTGAATCTATACAAAAGTAAAGGGCGGGGGGGGGGAACGTATGTGCCTTTGGTCCTTTTTCGAGCCTTGTCTCAAATAAACTGAAAGCCATTCTGAGCTGCATTTTATTGGCGATCACCAGCAAACCCCTATTATTTGTAAGGCAAACCTCTCTCTCCTGGGGGCAGGAGAAGAATGCCAGGGCAGCTGTGTATGATGGCACCAGTGGGCTGCTGGGACCGCCGGCTCTGACAATGTTGCACTACTGTCTACACAAATTAAGCAGTGCAATAATATTGTCAAAGCATTTGGTTCCAGTTCTAATACGTCCTGACTCCTTATGACCAACCACGGTGTGCAGGCACTCTTGTTCGCTGGTGACTGAATCCAGTTTAGCAAGGCCAGCATCCCCTCAGACTCCTGAGAACCTTTCAAAAGTCAAAATGTGTTTTATGTTTCTGGGCCATGTTTGACAACATTTGCATATATGTGTGTGTGTGTGTTTATATATATAAAGATTCAACAGGAGGTCTCTGTTCTACGATCATGGTTATGTATGGTGGTAGAGTATTTCGCCACCCACTGGTGGTGCAGTTGTGTACATCTAAAGCCAGTGTAATTGTAGGCTTGATGCCCCTGAAAAGACCTCCTTTAGAATGTTCCATTTCCTCTGCTAGACCTCTTTTCTCTTATCTTGTTGCGGCCAGCGAGTTCTAGGGTCACAAGATGGGAATTCTGTGTGTTTTAAAAGAACCTTGTGAATATATAGATTTTGCTAACATCTCAGAGGTTTTTGTTATTTCTGGTTCCCATTTTGGACTACTTTTGACAATGGATTTATGTTGTTTTTGTTTGGAAAAGAGAAATTATTGCTGAGGGTCAATAGTTTTTAAAACAAAATCCCCAACAACAGAGAGGGTGTGTAGATACTGAATCTATAAGGATTTGAAATCTGTGTGGTTCTCCCTAGCAAACGTGGGAGACTGTTTGGTACTCTGCAGAGCTTATAAATAGCAACATTGTATTAAGAATTGATCTCGTTTAAATAACAATATGTTGGAGACTGTCACTTGGAATGGTTGCTGGAAGCAGATGTGGAATCCTTCTGAACAGCTGCTAGGGAGAAGGGCATTACAAGAGGGAGGGGAGAAGAGGGGATTCTTTTTGTAGGACTCAGATTTGTTAGTTTAGAAGAGAAAAGGTTTGGGGGGGAGAGGGAGAGAGAGGAAAGGAAATCATAATACTGGAAACTAGATCTTTGTGGATTTTGCCTTTTGGGCTAGAATGCACGGCCATCTGGAGCCTTGGGTGTCCTTCCTGGTGGGTACCCCCTTTTGTAGAAGAAAATGGACCCTCTCCTTTTCTAAAGTTTGGACTCCCATCATCAAGTTAGAGAGCACAATGTACACATCCCATTCGACAAAAGTCCAGAAATGCTTTAGGAATGGATTGTTGACTTCTCCCTTTCTCTGTTCCCGTTCAAGGAGCCAAACATCTCTCTTTCCATGCTTGGAGATGGATATATTGAGTCAGTGTTTTGTTGTTCCCTTTTTAATGTAAATAGACAACAGAATAGAGAGATGGTATTAGATACTGTGTACTATCCTCCCACAATCACTGGTCTCCCATTTGGTTATGTCTCTGCATTGACGTTTGTACTCCACTGAACATTTAACCCAGGTTCTATATGACCTTCATGTTAGGAAGGGCTGGGAAGAACTGGGCGCCACCACTGTTTACTTTTCTGCATCCCAGACCATGGCTATGAAAACTGATTCTGGCCCCAAGGAATTTTGAAATACCTTTCTGGCCATTTGTCTAGCACACCACTTTATCATCGAAGCTATGCTACCATCACTTCAGGAACAAGGAATTGGTGTGGTTGAACTTTCTAGCAAATGTATTGATTCCCAAACACAGGACAGTGTTCATTCTGGCCCATTTCAGTGTTCTTCCATCTGCTTGATTAGAAGGGAGATACCGTGGTATTCCACTTCAGGGGCATTTATGCCCTTGGGTTGTTGGGGAAATTGAAATGGATGGACATGAGCTGTTGCACTGGCCCTTCTAATGATGACCTTAAGATACATATTTATTACACCTGTCCTCCCAAAAAAATCCCAGGAAGGTCAGAGGGATGGTGTACCTCCTTTCTTCTGGCAGGCCTTGAATCTGAAACCTTGGATAAAGTTGCCAGATTCTGTGCAGTTTCCAGAGCCTACTAAGGTTCGATGGAGATTCAGTAATACGTATTGCCTTTACAGATATATTACAGATATATAAATGGAAGACTGTATACATATATGTGTCTTGTAGCCACTGTGTTCATGTATGTTTTACTTGGCTGATCTAGGACCATAATAAATTATTGACTTTTAGTCCTGATCATAGCTAATACTGTACTGTTCTTCAGCCTTCAGGTAGCAAAGTGTTTCGCGTGTATCCTATATTCTTACAACAATCTTGTAAGGTATTGTTATCCTCCGGTCTTCCTGAGGGTGGGGTTTCTGGGTGATTGTGACTGTATTGACAAGAGTTTGTGATCTAGATAGGATCTGAATCTGGGACTTTTAAGACACTCTGCAGCATTTATTACCCTACTCCATTCCAGGCTTCTAGTGAAACTGGCTGTTGCTTACAACCTCATATAATGTTAAGGCTGTTTTGTTTGTTACGGAAAAAGTTCTGCTGCTGCTCTTGTTAATACGGCATTTTCCACATACCTTTAAAATAAATTAAAGCAATTGATGAACTCTTCTGGGTGGGTAACAATTCCATCTGGGGAAGTATTTTGCTGGAACCCAGGAAAAAATGCTTATCTAATAAACAAAAGGTTTACCCATGCCCCCAGTATTGCTCTTTTAGTTGCTGTGTAATTTTCTCCTCCCCACCACAAAAAGTGCAGCGTATACATTACAAAGTCCTGATGTTAGCATTGATTAGGCTGAGGCTGGAAGGCTCTGGGATTTCCACCTCTACTCTGCCTGGTTGCATAACTGGGTGTGCGAGCTTAACAACTTGGTGACCTCCATGTTGTACATCTGAAAGAGCAATTTCAA